ATTAACCTACCTACTACCTAGTACCTAACCTAGAGGTGTATACTCGTATGTTGTGTTAGTTTTTTGGTCGCACATTTGCTATCAAGTTGCATTTGCCTATGCATAAATTGATTTAATTGGAACTCGGTAACAGACAATACACAGTAAATCAAGACATGTAGCAACGTTACTACCGCTAAAAGATAAAGACCACGTCGATGTGCACAGCTCTTGGGAAACAATAAACACAATTAATTACGCCTTTCAGGTATGGCCAATACTACATAATGTTGGATTAAACATTGGTCTCTGAGTAGGGGTATAGCATCTACGTGTAATACTTGCAATTTGAACAAGTCTCTCCTTATTATTGAATCATTGCAATTGAAGACGATGCATACATACTGTACACCGTAGTTTACATGTATGACATGTTCATATTATCTAGGCCCGGCTGGGTGGCTGGTTGAGGGCTCATATAATTTACATACACGAGTGTTGATACTTCTATATTGGCTTGTTCCTCTGTACAATAGGACGCGTACTAAAATAAATTCAGACAGCTACTTAGTAGATTGATCCTCATATTTTGAAGGATTCACGGGTCGATCTGAAGGTCTAGACTCTATACATCATACGTACAGGTCTCGACTAAATACACTGTTAGCACGGTTCATTAACCTACATGAGGTACATACGTGTACATTGTACGAGTACGTCGGAGTGTGGCTGATTTTAAGAGTGGGGCTCTACCACTTAACGCGTCTCCAAACAGAGCAATTGGAAGACAATACCTCTCGACGCGACGGGATGCAGCACAGGCGACCTGCACAGCGCCTGATAGTGGCAACCACTCAACGCACCTACTCAACACGTACATAAATGGTACCCTTCCATGGGCTACACAATTGGCTGTTTCGACCACAATCCTAGATCGGACTGTTGTGGCCTAGATAGTGCTTCTAAATATTGTATGAGACAGGACGCTGGTTTTTGCTGATTATTAGATTGCTACTTATTACGTGTAACGTTTCCTATGCTTCTAAGAAGCAAGGCGCCCGCAAGCGCAGGCCATCTATGGCGACCATCAAGCCTATTGAGGCGAAAACAGTACGCCCAACCTTAGAACCTCATCTGGGCATTCGCTGACTTTATCTCGAGGTCCATCAAATCCAATCAGGTCAGGTAATCGTCGACCTTTGTTCCGTTGTGAAGGAACTAGTGGAGAACAGCATAGATGCGGGAGCCTCTAATATTGGTAAGGCTGGATATATCTGCTCTAGCTTTGGCAGAAACGCTTGTTTGCTTACACATGCGCATCTAGAAGTTCGTTTCAAGAACCAGGGTTTGGATGCCATCGAGGTACATGACAACGGTTCGGGTATATCCAAAGAGAATTACGATACCTTGGCATTGAAGCATTACACCTCCAAGTTGAGCACTTACGCGGACTTGGAGGCCCTAGAGACCTTTGGCTTTCGTGGGGAAGCACTGTCGTCCCTCTGCGCATTGTCCAAGTTTACAGTCACCACTTGCTTAGCATCGGACGCGCCGAAGGGTTCTAGACTGGCATTCGAGCCCTCGGGGAAGTTGCGTAGTACGAGCGTCGTCGCTGCCCAGAAAGGGACGACAGTCTCAATTGAAGATCTTTTCTACAATTTGCCGGTCCGTCGCCGTGAGCTAGAGCGAAATATAAAACGCGAATGGAGCAAGGTTTTGGGCGTCCTCAACCAATATGCTTGCATCCAAACTGGTCTCAAATTCTCAGTCTCTCAACAACCAACCAAAGGCAAACGGATCGTCTTGTTCTCAACCAAGGGAAACAAGACTACACGCGAAAATATAGCCAACGTCTTCGGCGCCAAGACTTTAAGCGTTCTGATCCCACTGGAACTGGAACTGGAACTTGAACAGACAAGTACACCTAACCGGCGTCTCATAAAGCACGAAGATGACCAAGCTAAGATCATCCGTATCAAGGGCCATGTTTCTCGCCCGGCACATGGCGAGGGAAGGCAGACCCCCGATCGGCAGATGTTCTTCGTCAACGGCCGCCCATGCGGTCTCCCTCAGTTCGCTAAAGTTTTCAACGAAGTTTACAAAACTTACAATTCTTCTCAGTCCCCTTTTATCTTTGCTGATATCCAACTCGATACACATCTCTACGATGTCAACGTAAGCCCGGATAAGCGAACCATTCTGCTGCATGATCAAACGCGGATGCTTGATAACCTTAGGGAGTCACTCGGCGCCTTGTTTGAATCGCAGGATTATGCCCTACCAACCTCACAACTTCAGGTACCGAAACAATCCCTCCTTAAGACCCCTTCGCAGAATAGACAAGACGGATCTCTGTCTAAATCGGGTCCGGAAATCTCGTTGCCGATGGATATCGATCTCCGTGACAGATCGACATCAGCAGACTTGCGGCAGACGCCGGACGGAGAACACGCAAAGAAAGCCGAAGCCAAGGGAAATCAGGGCCCCTTGGCAGACGATATACAGGACCGCACAGGCACATCCGTTCAACCCGCCAATAGTAACCATTTGCTCAGCCACTGGGCGGAAAGGAATTGCGAGTTGCGGGTAAATGCCGAAGAAGAGAATACCGCTAGCGGAGGAAATATCAGCAAGAATAATCAGAGTTCATACGTGGACTCGCGGAGTTGCAACTCTCCCCATCCTGAAAAAAAGCGTGCATTTGCGCATAAAGAGTCAGCCGACACATCCGACAACGAGACGGGATTCCAAGCACGTCTGGAACAATTCAAGGAGGGCAAGGCTGATGGAACTAGCGACCAGTTACCACAGCCAGATAGTGCTGCCCCAGAGCCACCTGTTCCATCTATTACCGCGCCTACTCGAACGACAGGCACCCGATCTATACTACAATTCCCCTCCCCATCGACCAAGCGGCCCGCGCCCGAAGTTGCTACCATCACGATAGGAGACCATACTGTTACCAGCGTAATTGGCGGCCCGGCCAAGAGGAAACGACTTGAATACGAGAGGACACGGGAGCATTCTGCGCGAAAACGCAATAAAGATCCCGGACCTGTCCCTTCGTTCCATGGGCGGCTTACGCAGATGTTCGCTGCGCAGGCCCATCGAGCAGGAGCTAGCAACAACGATATTGATGTCACCACTGAAGGGAACGGCGACGAATCTGACGACTCAGGTGGTGGACTTTTTGTGAATGGCGACGCCGACGAAGCCGAGAAGGATAGCGCGCAAGAAAGTGAGAGTGAAAAGCCGGATACAGAGGAAGATGAGGAGAGGACATCTCCCCAAAACTCACCCATGTCCGTGGCGGATCCCAAAGAAGATTTAGAGAACCAACAACCGGGGTCTACAGACGATTCCAGTGATTCCGAAAGCAACCAGGACGAAGGCGACGATGAAGAAAAGAAGAATGAAAGCCATGTCGACGAGAATATTGAAGATATTCAAACCGGAGAAGAGATGATTTCAGAAGAGTCAGAGAGGCGGACAAAGAGCTTTGTGAAGGGTAATACTAGGAAGAAGGATGCGACTTACTATCTGCAACAAACTCTACGGGTGGATCCAAGTGCCATCCGCGATGCGTACACTTTGCAACAGGAACATGCACCTCGGAAACTTTCAAACTCCAAGACAACGCTTGAGACCGATAGACTCGATGCTGAAGATGCCGAGGAGAAACTATCCCTGACAATCTCAAAGTCAGACTTTGAAAGGATGAAGATCATTGGCCAGTTTAATCTAGGGTTTATATTGGCTTCCCGCGCCGCAGAATCGGCCTCCCCAGACAGCTCAGGTAAATGCGACAGGGACGACGAGTTGTTCATTATCGACCAGCATGCAACAGACGAGAAGTATAACTTTGAACGGCTTCAAGCTAGTACCGTTGTGCAGTCTCAAAGGCTAGTCCGTCCCAAGACGCTCGAACTCACGGCGATGGAGGAGGATATCGTACAAGAAAACATGGATGCACTAGAAGCGAACGGGTTCATTGTCAGTTTCGATGGTAGCGGCGACGAGCCTGTTGGAAGCCGGTGTCAGTTGCTTAGTTTGCCACTGAGCCGGGAAACCACCTTCTCGCTCGCCGACCTCGAAGAACTCATCTCGCTTCTCATGGACCACCAGTCTTCCTCGGAAAATTCGATACCACGGCCATCCAAGGTCCGCAAGATGTTTGCGATGCGCGCTTGTCGAAGCAGCGTCATGATTGGGAAACCTCTATCGATCAAGCAGATGGAGAAGCTTGTGAGGCACATGGGTGAGATTGATAAGCCGTGGAACTGCCCTCATGGGCGTCCAACCATGCGACACCTATGTGGACTGGGCGCCTGGGATGAGCTGGGTTGGAAAGAGGGAGTCGGCTTTGATGGAAACCGGGCATCGCCGGTCAATTGGGCTGCTTATCTTCAAGGTGAAGGGGATTTGGGATAAATGGTATGGGGTCGATCATCAGTACTTGCGAGTATTTCTTTTAATGTGTGTATCATTTGGAAGGAATTAAGAGACATAGCAAAAAAACATCGTGATATACTCCCAACAACACAATGTTCTGGGATGGGGACCTTGGGCGTCCCTGGGAAACAATAACACATGCTCGAGTATAGGCTCGTGTCATATTTTAGAGTACGTAGTCAAGTTGGGCACAAAACTCGGGCCCATTCAATGTTTAGATACTAGAATACTTTGCAAGGGTCCTTCAGATTTTCTGTAATCGAAATATGTATGAGTATTGTTCTTTCCATGCTCCAATCCATACCTAGTGTAACGAGCACGATGCGGAAGCCAGCAAACTTGACATATTCCAAACCACCTTATCCAACGAAACGCCGACAGACAGCAAAACAGCAGTAGGTATGTCATCGAGACAAAACGAAAGGAATCAATCCGAAAATATACAACCCCCTTTTCTCTTTCCATAAATTCCATCTCTCAGTGTTCATTCTCCCCCGCGTACAGCGGCTCATTGACCCGTATTCGAGCAAGCATCATCAATCAACCGGTTCTCCACAATCGGGATTGAGGGGCGAATGGTCTAGGGGTATGATACTCCCTTCGCATAGAATCTCAGGATTCCGAGCATGGGAGGGGTCCGGGGTTCAATTCCCCGTTCGTCCAATCAATTTTTTTATTGTTTGTACACTGTACGTACGGACTTGCTCCTTTTTTGTTTATTTTTTCTGGTTGTTTTTTTTTTCTTTTCTTTTTGTTAGAAGAATGCCCGAGTTTATAAAGGATAATTGTTTCTGTTTTTAATTACTATCTTGTTTTTATAAGAAAAATTTGTTTAAAAAAGGCTAGCTAATTTTTTCTTTTAAACGAAAATCTGCTATTGCTAAAATATTTTATATTTTATAAAAAGGTTTTTTTAGCAAAGTAATTTAAGTTTTATTTTTATAATTTAAAAGAAAATTTATAGCTATATATTAAGCTATAAAGCTATATAGCTATAATTACTAATAAAAACTTTTTTTTAATTTTAGTGTTTTTATTTTTTTATATATTTATAATTATTTAGTAGTATATTTATTTATTTTGTAAATAGTTTATTATATATTATTTTTTTGCTTTTGTTTTTGTTTTTTTATTTTAATATATTAGTATAAGAAAACTTATAAGCTAGTATTTTTAATTTATAATATAATTGTTTTATATTTTAAGTAATTGCTTTTTTAGTTTTTTGTTTTATATTTATTTTTATATTAGCTTATTTTATAGTATTTTATTTTTTTATAAAAAAAGTTTGCTTTTATTTAAGCATTTTATATAATAAAAGTAGTTTTTAAAGTTGTACTTATTATAAAGTAATAAAATAATTATATTTTTTTTTTATTTTTTTTTATTTACTTTTATAGCAGCTTATAGTTTAATATTTATTATTTTTGCTAAATTAATTATTAAGCAATAGTTAGCTTTTTAAAAATTAAAAGCTATTTTTAAAATATTATAAGTTAATATTAAAATCTTATTTAAATAGTTTAATTTATAAGGTTTGTTTATATTATTTATAATTATGCTTTAATTATAATATTTATTATATTATTTAGTTAATTTTGTTTTTATATTAATATTTAGTACGTAAACGTTATATATATAGTACTTATTTACTAAAAGTATATAAGTTATAAATATAGTTATTAGTAAATAAAATAGTATAATTATATACTTAATATTTATTTTATTTTTTAAGCTTAGGTTTTTTAATATTATAAGTTTTTTTTTATATATAATTATATTATTAACAAACTTATAAATTATAGCAAACTTTGCTAATTAGTATTTAAGTTTATTTTAGTATTTTTAAAAAATAAAATATTTTAATTTTTTAATTATTATAGCTTAATTATAATTATTATTAAAGTATACTTTATATACTTTTAATTTATATATATTAACTATTTTGCTATTAATATTTTTATTATAAATAATGCTTTTTTTAAAAAAATATATAATATATAAATATATACTTATATAGTTTAGCTTTATTTACGCTTTGCTTAGTATATTACTAAGCTTATTGCTTATAATATAAAAGTTATTAATATTAAATAGTTTTATTTTAATATTTTTTTATATTAGCTTAGTATTTTAGCGTTTTTTAGCTATTTATTTAGCTTTTTTATTTAGTAGCAAATATTATATATAATATTATATATTAGCTATTATAATATAAAAAGCTATTTTATTTTTACTTTTTTTTATTAAGCAGTTAATTAGTAAAATTTAAATTTTAGTACTTTTTTTTTTTATTTGCTTGCTATTAAATTTATTTATTACGTAGTAAGCTAATAAAATTTAAGTAATTATTTTTTTATAAAATATTTATAAATATTAATAGCGTTTTATAAAATTTTTATTAATTTTAAAGTTTGCTTAGCAGCTTAAGTTTTTTTTTATATATTTATAGTTACTTTATAATATAGTTAATTTATAAATATTTATAATATGTTTTAGTTATTACTTTTTATTATTAATATATTTACGTTTTATTATATATTATATTATTAGTATATAATATTATAAGCTATTTAGTAAAATAAAAGCTAATATAGTAAATATTACTAAACTAATAATATAATTTTTTTATAGCTTTTTTAGCAAAGTAAATAATTATATAAGCTTTTTTATATTTATACTAATATATTAATAAGCTTTATTAAAAAATATAAAAGCTGCTATAATTATATACTTATTATTATAGCTATTTTTTAAGCTTTAAATTATTTTTAAAGTGCTAAGTATAAAAAAGTAGCTTTAGTTTTTTTAGCTTTTTATAAAGCTTTTAATTTTCTTTTTTTTGCTTTTTTCTTTTTTTATACTTATTATTTATTTTATTTAATTAAAGCTATAGTATAAGTTTTTATTTTTACTATATACTTTATATTTAATTAAAATTTAAAGTATTTAAGTTATTATATAGCTATAGTTTATTAGTTTTTTAAACTTTATGCTTTATTAATATAATATAAATATTAGTACTATATAAATTATAAATAATAGCTTTATAGCTAAAGCAATCTTATATATATTATTAAATAAAATATATATATATTATATTAAATATAAAAATTTATTTTAAAATAAGCACTGCTTACTTTTTATATTTTATTTTATTAAATAGTGCTGCTTATTAATTAATATATTAAAAGTTTAGTATTTTTAAACTTTTTTATTATTTTTTATAATAATTATAAAAATTGCTTATATTGCTAAAATTTTAATTATTTTATTAAGCTTTATAGCGTTTTTTAAATAACTTTTAAAAAGCTTTTATATTAGTAGTTATATAATTATTTACTATACTATATAAAGTTAATATAATTATAAGGTAATATTAAATTTATATAGCTTAAAGTTAATAATATTAGTTAAATATTAAAATATTTTATATATATAAGCTTATTTTTTTTAAAAAACTTTTAAGTTTTTATTTATAATATTAAAATTAAATATTAATTAATTAGTTAAATTATTTTTTTTACTACTATTATTAGCTTTTTTTAATTAATTATGTTTTTTTTAAGCGTAATTTTTTTATTATTAAATAATAATATTATAATAGCGTTATTGTTTATAAGTATGCTTATATATAATTATTTAATTTTACTAGTTATATTTTTATTTTTTTTAGCTTTTTGTTTTTTAATAGTTAGGCTTTATTTTTAAGTATTTATTATGTTAGCTTTTAAATTTAAAAAAATAGCTAGCTATTATACTATAATAGTTAAAAAAAGTTTTAGCTTTTTATATACCTTTATATATTAAAAGTTATTAATTAAAGTAAATATTTTTTTAATATATTATTAATATAATAAACTTTATTATTATAATTATAAAATAATATTAATTATTATTTAGGTTTGCTTTTTAATTAAAGTGCTAATTTTTATAGCTAGTATGTATTTATTTAAGTATATAAGCAACATATAACTATTAATTTTATAAAAAATAATATAATATATTATATACGTATAATTAAAAAAGTTTTTAGTAAAGATTTAATTATGCTATTGCTTAAGCTTTAACTACTTTATTAAGTTTTAAGTATTTTATTTAAATAAATTTTTTATTAAAATGTTAAAGTTTATAATAAGTAATTTTATATATAAATATTTTATAAAATAATAAGTTATAATGTTTAAGTTTTTATATATATAAAATAGTAAAAAAAACGTATATAATAATAATATATATATAAATAAATATAAAAATTAGCTTATATTTTAAAAGTTAGTATAGTTTTAATTAGTTGCTTTTAAATATATTTATATAGTAAATTTTTGTTTATATAAAATAGTATAAGCTAATAAATCTTTTTAAAATAATTGTATATAATAGCAAAAAAATGTAAATAATTAAAGTAAATCCTTTGCTGTTTACTAGTATTAGTTATTTTAAAATAAAAATATTTTATTTATAGTTTATATAAAAAAATATAGTATTAAGTAAGCAAAAAAATAAGTATATTTATATATATAATAGTAAAATGTTTTATATAATATACTAATAATAATAAAAAAGTAAAATAAAGTAAATATAAATAGTAATTTTTAATAATATATAACCTTAAATTTTTATTTTAATAGTTATTTTTAGTAAAGTTAAAATAAGTTAGTAAATATAAATAAAATATTAATATTTTTAAGCATAATTAGCTTATATACTTGCTTATTTAGTCTTTTAGTATATAAGTAGTTATTTTTTTTAAGTATAAAAGTTAATATTTAATATAGTATATATATATATATATTTATAGTTAAAGTTAAGTATAAAAGTATATATTATAAAAAATA